CAAGTAGTACTTCTTATGAAGATACACCATTATCTCAGTTTCTGCAAAGACCACATGTAGGATAGCGTACAATTCCCTTGGGCTCAGTTTGCCCCTGTTTGGGTCATACACCGGCATTGAGACCTCTGTTATCCCTCTTTCAATCATGAAGTCTCGTAATCTTGTTAGTGCCAATATCACGTGTTCGGGATCAATTGTGTTCCTGTCATTGACCCTCGTTACTAGGAAGCACAGATATTTGCCCGGGACTTGTGCCACTGACGGTGGAAGCGCTGCCATCCCTCCCAGTCCTGGTCTCTGTCTGAACAGAAACTCTACATTCTGGTACTCTCTTTTGAAGTCAGCTTCCAATCTTGATTTGAAACTCATGTCCGCCGTGATGCAGATCGCGCTGGTCCTGTTTGACAGGATGAAGTCGCTATCCGTTATCATGATGTTCTCCGAGTATTCATTGGGTATTTCGAATTTCGTTTTGAAATTCCGACCTATAGTAGGCTCTGGTTCTTCTTCCTCCAGTTCCAATTCGCTCGTTTCTCTCACTTCCTTGAGCTTCTTTATCATCAAATTTTCGGTGTGGGTAAGTCCTACCCCCACTCCCCGGACAAAAATATTTATCGACGTCCCCGTCGATGTTGTCGGGTCTGAATTGTCCTGAGGAATGTCCAGTGGCCTGTCTGTTGCCGTCCATCCGAAAAGAGGGTCCTCTGTCTTCATGTAATTTGCACCATCCACTCTAGAATCCTCAAGTTCGTGTTCTCCCTCCTCTCTATCTCACTCTGTTCGAGATCCGTTTCTACTTCTGGCGTCGAGTAATCATCCTGCGGATAATGACCACCATCGTCAATGACCTGCCATTCCTCTCCGGCTTCCAGTTCGCCTGCCTTCAGTAATTCCTCGCCCAAATTGTCTGGCTGTATCTTATCGATCAAGAAGTCATCCCCGTACCTGTTGTACCTCATGCCGGTGCGTTTACGATTGCCACTCCTGGTTTCCGGTGGTGTTGGTCGATCCGGCTCCATCCACTTCGGCACCTCGTCTTGCTCCGGGTCGTTCCAGTCTTCTTCTACAAATGATCCTGCATCAGACCCCCCTCCTATCTTTTCATTGTCGTCCAAACTCAAGTTCTCATTACCATCATTTTTCTCTCGAGTACCTTTCTCATTCACTTCACACGCTGGCTCTACCACCAGGTACTCAAGACCCTCGATGTCCTTCGGTATGCACCAATCCTCTGGGGACGGGACGTGAGGCTTCAGATTTTCATAATGTGCCGCTCGCCCAGTACTCAAGCGATAGAACCGTCCTTGTTGATGAACCCCCGTTATCATGAATGGTCCCCTCCACTTCTTGAGTAGTTTCTTTGTTCCCTTGGGCGGTATTACATTTTGGAAGAGCCACACGTATTGGCCCACTTCATATGGCTTTGCTCTTAATATTTTTTCGTCGTATTTCCTGCGTTGCCTCATTTGCGCTTGCGCCGTGTTCCTCCTGCATAGCTCGTTCAATTCCTGTTGTCTTTTGATCGCTTCTTTCACGTATGCCTGAGGCGACGTCCTTTTCCCCTCGTATTCCGGGTAAAAGAATGTCAGAGGCATTGCTCTCTCCCTGCCCGTCAACATCATGAAAGGACTGATGCCCGTAGTTGAGTGCTGTGTACTGTTGTAGGCTCCTACTACCTGTGGCAGGTATTTGTCCCAGTCCGTCATGTATCTTGAGCAGTACACCCTTAACATGTTGACCAGTGTCCTGTTTTGTCTCTCTACCAACCCATTGGTCTGCGGATGATAGGTCGTCGAGTGTGCTTGAGCAATGTGCGATCTCTTCATCAATTCTTTTGTCAAGTCTCCCACAAAAGCTTTGCCGTTGTCCGACTGGAAAGTCATTGGACAACCATACCGCGATATCCAATGCGTTATCAGATGATCACATGTCTCTTCGGCCGAGGCTGTCTGGCACGGAACCGCTTCCGCCAACTTTGTGAAGTGATCTATTATAACCAGTATCTGGTTGTATCCCGATTCTGTCATGCAGATTTTTTGATGGTCTATCTGCACCACTTCATTGAACTCCGAGCTCTCAACGGACTTGAGGGGAAACTTCATCTTCCTTGGGTCTTTTACCTGGAGACATGCCAGGCAGGCATTCACCCATCTCTCGCAAGCTTTTCTCATTCCCGGCCAATCAAATCTGTGAAGTATCCTTTGTTGTACTTTGTCTATCCCCTGGTGACCCATCTGGTCGTGTGATCTGAAAAGCACCTCTGTCTGGTACAATTGTGGTAGTATGATGAGGTTGTGTTTGTGTAATATCTTTTCCTCATCTCTCCTCTTGCACGCTACCACTCCATCAGCTGTGTGATAAAGTAAGTCTTTCTTTTCTTTGTAGAACTGGCTCAAGATCTTGTAGCTGTCTTCCTCAAGTTCCCCCTTCTCCTTGACCCCCGACTGGATCCATTTGGAGAGGTTACTTGTCATTTTGTCATTCTTTTGGGCTCTTATTAGGTCTGACAGCCTATATCTTGCCTTGACATGCTCCTTTAGCGCCATGATCTGTCCATTCATCTCACCAGGGTTGTGGATGTCATCACTCAGTTTCACGCATATCATCCTTTTCACGATTTTAATATCATCTTCTGGCACCAGATTCGTTCTGATGTTTGAGTTGCATGATAGTTCCCTGAATGGTTTCCTTGCGACCGCAATTTTCTCAAGTTCCTCACCACCTCGCATCTCCTGTATGTCCATGTTGTATGTTCCTGAAGATGGATCCGTCTGTAACTCCCTGTCGTGGTGCCTTGTCTTCTCTTCCGCCAGTATCATGCACAGACTGTCCTGGTTTTCGCTGCTCTCATCCGAGTCTTCATCCCATCCTTCACGCTCCCCGGACAATTTTCCTTCTCCGGTTCCTTCTTCCGTGAACCTGGAACACTCCCCGGACTCTTGACCTAGTCCCAGGTGTTCAGTATCTTCCTTGAACGTCACTTTCTTTTTCCTAACCTTGGTCTGCTCCAGAATGTCTTCGGGGATTTTGTCAACTAGTGACCGCACGACATCTTTGCTGTCAGTGACGCTTCCTCTTGATGAGTCAGTATCGTTCACTGTCTCTTTTCTCCGAAGTATAGTGAATTCCGGTTTCTCTTGACCCTTCTCCTGGATCACGGGCTTATCATCTGATAGTTTCTCGAGCAACCTCATTAAGTCATCATCTATCTGTGCAGTTCCTGCTTCCACCTGGTTAAGATCATAGCCTTTTGCCTTGAGCGTCTCCTTCACGATCTTCGACTTGAGTATAATCTCAATCGGAATCCTCTTGTTCTTCCTCAAGATGGTCTTCTCTGGAGGCTCTTTAGGCAATTCAGGATGATCTTCTATCGGTTTGCCTGACTTGTCCAGCCATCTCGTGAGTGGAAGACTGTCGTACGTTTCCTTGTCCATGAATGAGAAGCCATCTTTGATTTCAGGTCTGTCTGCTTCTCTTTGCTCTTGTCTCTCACAGAACTCCGTCTTCTTACTCAAGCGGTCGGCATTCTGATGTTTATCTCGCGTTCTATGCTCAATTATCATGTTGTATCCGTCCAAGCGAACTATCCACCTCCCAATGTAACTTTGGTCCATTGAGTACGTTTTCAGCCAGCTCAGTGCTCTGTTGTCGACTCGCAACTTGAATGGCTCACTGCCCAGGTATGCCCTGTATTTCTCGACAAAGGTAACCACCGCGAACATCTCAGCTTTCGGTGCTCCGTACTTCATTTCCGTGTCACTCAGGACTTTGCTCCCGTACGCTATTGGTCTCAAGACTGTCTTCCCAATCCATTCTTGTTCTTGGTGGAGAATCCCAGAAATCGCGACTACCGACGCATCCGTGTCCAGCACGTACATCCCTTTCTCAGTCGGCATACCCAGTACTGGTTCCTCACATAGCTCTTTCTTTATCCTCTGGAATGACTCTTCTGCTGCGTTGTTCCACGTGAACTTCTTGCCCTTGTGTCTCATTAATTGTTGCATCGGGTATACCTTGTCTGCATAGCCTTTGATGAACTCTCTATAATAGTTAGCGAAACCCAGGAAGCTCATCAACTGGTGCTCTGTCTTCGGTGATTTCCAGGTCAGGACTGCTTCCACGGCGTCCGTATCAGGTCTGATGCCGTGCTTGTCTACCATCCTGCACAAGTATTTTATTGAGTCCTTGAGTATCTCGCACTTTGATGGATGAAAACACTTCGTCTAGTCTCTCAATGTGGTCTTCCAGTGTTGGCGTCGCTATTACCCCGTCATCCACGTAGCACATTACCAAGTTGCCATACTTCTTCGTTACGCCTATCAGCGCGTGTGCCATCAACCGCTGAAACGTGGCTGTGGCATTGCAAATCCCAAACGGCATTTGTTTCCATTGAAACAGACCCAACTCGCAGGAAAACCCTGTCTTGTCCCTGTCCTGCTTCCTTAGTGGTACTTGCCAAAAGGCCGAGCCTAAATCAAGAGTCTTAAAAAATTTTGCATCACCTAACTTCGAGAGGCTCTCATCAATCCTAGGTATGGGATAGGCATCCTTCACCGTGACGGAGTTCAGGTATCGAAAGTCACAACAAAACCTCAACTGGTCGCCTTTCTTTTTGGCCATCACTACTCCACACGCCCACGGTGACTTGGATGGTTCTATCATGTCATACTCTAGTAACGTCTCGATCTCTTTTCTACACGCGTCCGATTTGTGTGGGGTCATGCGCCTCGCCCCCTCCCTGTGTGGTACCGCGTTTTCCTCAAGTTCTATTTCATGCTCAACGAAATTACAACACCCGATATCCGCCTTATGCCTCGAAAAAACTTCCTCGTTCCGCTCTAGTACGTCCTTGATGGCTTCGAGCTGTTCATCTTTCAGTTTGCCCCTCAAATGTTCAATCTCCGGCAGGACCGGTTTTTCATTTTGCATTTCATCTAGTGTGGGTTGCTCTGGAAAGTTCGAACAGCTCGAAAGACCATCATCCGTTTCTGACTTAAGTGATTTAATAAGACCTGAAGAATCTTTTATTTTCTGCAATCGTCTCAAGATACAAATTTTGTCCCTGTGATTGGGACAATCAACAACTTCATTTTGTTTTGAGTTCTCAATTGTTTCATATCGAGTTTTAACCGGTAAAGCATATCCCAGTTTCCTCCCTCTCTGTATCGTGATCGGTATATCAAGGGTATTCAACAAGACACTGACGCAGAGGCCGCTCTTCGTTATCGAAAATGATCTTCCTAAAACAGCAGCACTTTGACTATTAGGATTCGGAACTATGCACACTTGCTTGTTGTCACTTAGTTCATTGTAATTTTTCATCCTCAAACTTACGATTGCCGCTTCATTAGCTTTTAGCCTCACCCTCCTACTCAAGAATACCGGTGCTTTGTTTTCATTTGCCATTATTAAATTTACCGGTTTGATTGCGTACCTCCTATCCGGGTTCCGTATCCTGAACATTGCGTTATTTAGATCAATCGTTACGTCGAAAATCCTGATGAAGTCTCTGCCCAAAATGAATTGGTCAGATTCATCTAGGTTTTCTACCACGATAAAGCTCATCCACAGGTTACGTTCCCCCAAATTGAGGGCTATTATCGGCGTCCTGCCCAGCACCCGAAGGGCCCCTTTGTTTGCAGCCGACAGCCGTATTCTCGAGTCTATCAAGTCACCTTTGTCAAAGCCCATCCTCTCCCAAGTTTCGATTGGTATGACGCTCAAGACTGCTCCCGTGTCAAGCAACCCACGCAACTGAGTCTTTTTGCCACTTATATCCAGCACGTGCCCTGTCACATCTGCCTCCGTCCCGATGTGCATTGCATCTTCTTCAAGCATGGCGCAGTGTCCAATCGATCTCACTTTCAATTCTTCTTTCCCTACGTAGATTTGTCCAATTAGGTCTTCGTCACATGTTATCATCGTCTTTGTATAGATGTTAATCCCATCTATATTTAGCATCACCTCGTGTGGACCATAAGCTTCAGTATATCTGCTATCAACACGTACCGACTTGCTGCCCCCTCTCATGAGTAGTGCTCTCAAGGCTCTAGAAGTCGTTTGTGGGCTTATACAGCTCAAGTAATCTGCGTACACGTCAATGTGCATTATCGTCTGGTCGCTCGGTTCGCTCAAGTTTCTGGTTACCTCGTGGCCGCCCACTGTGATTATCGACAATATTCTAGCCCCAATTTTCGATATGCCGAATGGCTTTCCCGTCACCATTCTTACAGTGTTACAATTCCCCGTCTTTGTTGAGCCCGGTACAGCCTCTGGTGTTTGGTTCGATCCGGTTAATGCTTCGTTGAAATTCTGTCCTTCGATCTCCAGCTTTAGTCGTTGCTCTATTTCTTTCGCAGCCAGATCCTGTTTTACTTTGGCAATTGCTTCCGTCGCCGCTTTCTCATAGTTTATCTCTAGCGAGTTCCCAGCCGCGGACTCTATCGCACCATTAACATGTGTTACAGCTTTCACTGTTTTCGTCGGCAATTCCGTGCTTGGTGCTCCTAAGTTCCTAGATTCAAACTCGTTTTGTCTATTCCGCTGATTCTGCACTGCCGCTAATGCCAACTTATGTTTGGGGTGACTCTGGTCCTTGACCGCTTCCCAGAACAAGGGACAATCCATTCTGAAGTGCCCCTCCTGGTTACAGAAGAAGCATCTGATTAAGCCACTATAGTACTCGTGTTCCTCCATCTGGCTCATGTCCTCCTCATCTGGTGCATATCCTAGACTCTTCATGCCTTGTTTGTATGTTGTGCAGTCAGCCACGTGGTGATCCGCCGACCCGCAGTTCGCGCATGATCTGCGCTTGTCCATGTCATCTCTAGGCTTGTACCATGACGACCTCTGGGGTTGACTTCCCCCTTGCGTGTTCCTGTTTTCTGTATATGAGTATTTCTTGGGTTTCATCAGCATGTATTCCCTTGATTTCTGTCTCATTTCTTCTGGGGTTGGTGCGCTGTCTTTCGACAATGTGTAGTATGTTGCTAACATTGTCCTTAAGTCGTCACTTTTTACCCCATCAATAAACTTCGGGGCAATGCTAAAGTTTCTTCTGTTTGTCGACTCCTCTGGGTCACTCCTTCTTCTCAAGCTCTCGAGATCCTCTAGGAACCGATCTATTGACTCGTCGTCCCTCTGCCTTCTCTTTTCAAATCGCATCATCGCTTGGTGACCCTTCATGCCTGACCCGAATCGATTCAGCAATATCTCGAAGATCTTGTCCGCGGTATCGCGTTCTTCTTCTTTCTTTGCAACCACGCATTTCAATGCCGTGCCTTCCAGGTTACTGAGTATGGCTGTGCATGCTTGCCTTTCATCATTTAAGTTATCTTGTTCTAGATGTAATCTCATCACTTCCACCCACGTGTCAATGCATCCATCTGAGTCGTCTTTGAATTCTTTTGGCTTCTTGAAAGTTTTCCTTGATTTTCCGTCTCCCCTATCGCTCGAGTTAGTGTTCCTCGTGGCGAAGGCCTCTAGAGTCCTGTTCATCATCTCCCAAGTGCTTGCCCATGTCATGGCATCCGGACCTGCGTTGCTGCTAGCTGTTGAGTCCCCCGGACCACTCGTTGTGTTTGAATTCCCACTTTTCATGATTGTTTTATCAGCCGTTGGTGCTATGCTCACCGTATTCCGGGTTAAGGGCAACGGTGTCGATTGCCGTTTGCCCCTTTGTGGTTCCACAAAGTCAACTCTGGTGCCTTGCGTGCGATCCGCTGCCGGTCTTTCTTGTGAGGTAGAATTTCTCAAGATTGCATCCAATTTCGTCTGTATTGCACCTGAACTTTCGGCCTGATTCTTGCTCATTGTGTCCAGCCTCTTTTCCAGGCTACCTATTTGGCTGTTGACATCATCATATCGGTTTTTCAACAGTTGCAAATCTTTTTTGATGTTCCCTTCTTGTTCTTTATTGGTGGCTTCTACCTTATCTGTCATCTCCTTGAGTCTCTCGTCTGTTGCCTTAGCCAGGTTAAAATAACTATCCAGATACTCGTGTTTGTTGTATCTTAATTCTTTTCTTATTACTTCTCTGTCCTCTTCGCTGTGCTTCAGCTTTTTGTCGATCTGATTCAGTTTTGCCATCAAGTCACCTAGCTCAAGAGTAGCCTCTTCATGGTCAGCCGTTGGTCTTTCTTCGGCCGTTGCTTCTGCTTTAGTTTGTTCCTCTCTCGGATTGGCTTCTGTCGTCTTCGTGCTCACTGTCCCAAATGTTCGTGCTCTTTCAGCTTTTGGTTCTTCAGTCACGTTCTCTTTCGTTTTTATTCCGACCATCATCGCCAGCCTTTCGGTAAAAGATGTCTTTTTTACTTGAGAGTCTTCTTTCACCGTTTCTTCGGTGTTGCCTATTGCATCTTCCACATCGTCTATTGGTGAGAACTCTATGGGTTTCGGGTTTGGTTCTTCTGCATTGGGCATTGGAGTTGACTCCGTCGTCTTTTTCTCCAGTTCATCTACGCTCTGGTCTGGTGTCTCTAGGTCGATTTCGATTGTAGGCTCCACCTCTTTTTCCCTCGCATCTTCTCGCGTCTTGCTCTCGGTGCCACTCCTCGTGCTGACCATGCTAACTGAAAAGTTATTTCTTGTTTTGCCTGGGCCCCTTGATGTTGTTCCACGCAGCGACGAGTTATATTTCGTGTTTGATCCACTTGACCTTTTTTCAAGCACCGGTACCCTACTCCGTTTCATTATTCCTATTTACAATTTCCCTTATTTACAATTATATTATATACACAATTCTATTCTAAGAATAAAAAATTTTGTGGAAACAAATTCTTAAAAGAAAATATACAACGTGATAAAAACCTTGTTCCAGTTCTCTAAAATCTTCGAGTAATTTTCTTTATTCGTGGTCCTAACTGTACCGGGTTCCAATTAGTCTTGTTCTGTCTTAATCCTGTCTTAAAACAGCTTGTTGTAATTTTACTTCAATTTTTATACTGTCCTTAGACTTCCAGTTACCGTCCCTACTCTTCTTCGTACCGTCCCATGCTTCCTTTTACTGTCCCAAGACTGTTCGGTAATGTCCCAGTACTCCGTCAGTGTCCCAAGACTCCTGACCTGAGAGTAGTGTCCCAAGGCTAGTGTCCCAAGGCTAGTGTCCCAAGACCACTGTCCCAAGGCCAGTGTCCCAAGGCTAGTGTCCCAAGACTACTGTCCCAAGGCTAGTGTCCCAAGGCTAGTGTCCCAAGACCACTGTCCCAAGGCTAGTGTCCCAAGACTACTGTCCCAAGGCTAGTGTCCCAAGACTACTGTCCCAAGGCTAGTGTCCCAAGGCTAGTGTCCCAAGACTACTGTCCCAAGGCTAGTGTCCCAAGGCTAGTGTCCCAAGACTACTGTCCCAAGGCTAGTGTCCCAAGACTACTGTCCCAAGACTACTATCCCAAGGCTAGTGTCCCAAGACTACTGTCCCAAGACCACTGTCCCAAGACCCTTGTCCCAAGACCCTGTCCCAAGACCACTGTCCCAAGACCCTTGTCCCAAGACCACTGTCCCAAGACCACTGTCCCAAGACCCTGTCCCAAGACCACTGTCCCAAGACCACTGTCCCAAGACCCTGTCCCAAGACCACTGTCCCAAGACCCTGTCCCAAGACCACTGTCCCAAGACCACTGTCCCAAGACCCTGTCCCAAGACCACTGTCCCAAGACCACTGTCCCAAGACCACTGTCCCAAGACTGTATCAAGACTGTTCTGGTCCAACACTGACCCAGGACTTCTTTGGCACTGTCCCAAGGCTGTTTGACAAGTGTCTGAGCGGTGGGACTTCTCTCTTCTTCGTTATGGGGACTTCTTGATTCACTGTACCTTGTACCACCACTCAAGCTCTAGTAAAATTTCCCCAAAAGCCCCTTCTTAAAAGCCAAATGCTGACCCCCCTTTTTTCTTATTTCTTTTTAGTTACCTCTATTTCAATGTTCCAAGCAACTTGAGACCAAAACCTGTGCGCAGGTATCTTGTGATCACCTGTTCGTAAAAAAACTAAACACAAATCCACCCCAAAATGC